CCAGGAGACATCCTAAACAGATGCCCGAGCCACCTCAACTGGCTCCACTCGACGTGAAGAAGCAGCGGCTCTACTCTGAGTCCCTCCCAGATGATCGAGCTTCTCACCCTATCTCTAAGGGAGAGTCCTGACACCCTGTGGAGAAAACTCATTTTGGCCGCTTGTATCCGAGATCTCATTCTTTTGGTCACAACCCAAAGCTCATGACCATAGATGAGGGTAGGAACGTAGATCGATCGGTAAATTGAGAGCTTCGCCTTTTGACTCAGCTCTCTCTTCACCACAACAGACCAGTACAGCGCCTGCTTCACTGCAGACGCTGCACCTATCTACCCATCAATCTCATGTTCCATTTTTCCCTCATTCGTGAACAAGACCCCAAGATACTTGAACTCCTCCACTTGGGGTAGGACATCCTCCCTGACCCGGAGAGGGCACTCTACCCTTTTCCAGCTCAAGGCCATGGCCTCGGATTTAGAGGAACTGATCTTCATCCCAGTCGCGTCACACTCAGCTGCGACCCACTCCAGCGAAAGCTGTAGATCACGATCTGGTGAAGCCAATAGGATCACATCATCTGCAAAAAGCAGAGATGCCATCTTAAGGCCACCCAAACGGATCCCCTCAACACCTTGGCTGCGCCTCGAAATTCTGTCCATAAAAGTTATGAACAGAATTGGTGAAAAAGGGCAACCTTGGCGGAGTCCAACTCTCACCGGGAACAAGCCCAACTTACTGCTGGCAATGCGGACCAGGCTCTGAGACCGGTCATACAGGGACCTAACAGCCCGTATCAAAGGGCCCAGTACCCCATACTCCCAGAGTACCCCCCACAGGGTTCCCTGAGGGACGCAGTTGAACGCCTTCTCCAAGTCCACAAAGCACATGTAGACCAGTTGGGCAAACTCCCACGCACCCTCCAGGACCCTGCTGAGAGTGTAGAGCTGGTCCAGTGTTCCATGGCCAGGACGAAAACCACACTGCTCCTCCTGAATCCGAGGTTCGACTATCCGACGGACCCTCCTCTCCAGAACCCCCGAATAGACCTTACCAGGGAGGCTTAAGAGCGTGATTCCCCTGTAGTTGGAACACACTCTACGGTCCCCTTTTTGAATAGGGGGACCACCACCCCGGTCTGCCAATCCAGGGGAACTTCCCCCGATGTCCACGCAATATTGCAGAGTCGTGTAAGCCAACACAACCCTACAACATCCAGAGCCTTAAGGAACTCTGGGCCTGTGTTCCACTCCTTCGTCCATTGGACCAGCAAACACTCCTCACCAACCAAACCTGTAAGATACAAACTAGAATCAAAACCAAAATCCTTCATCACTGAGATCACCTACCTGACACCTCTCCTTGCCTTCCAGGGTTCTTTTGGAGAAACAAGCCATTGTTTCATTTCAGTGTAAATAATAAACACTGTTTAACTTTTACCTTGTGGAGTTTTGCTTCGTCTCAGTCTCTCACTTTCTGGGTCTTGTGAGATTATGACTTTAAAGTGCTTTGAGTATCTTGATCAGATAGAAAGGTGCTATATAAGTACAGTCCATTTACCATTTACTTAACATATCACTTAACAAGTGCACCTAACATATAACTTAACATATGCACCTAACATATGCACCTAACATATGGCTTAACATATCACTTAACATATGCACCTATCAATGAGCCTGAAGCTGGGGAAAGTATCACAACTGTGGAAGACCTCCTGTGTGGTACCGGTACCAAAAACCAAACATCCCAAGGACCTCAGTAACTACAGGCCGGTGGCTCTGACCTCACATTTGATGAAGACCCTCGAGAGGCTGGTCCTCAACAATTTGCCCCATCTGGTGAGGTCTTCATTAGATCCATTGTAGTTTGCCTACCGGCCTGGCATCGGGGTGGATGACGCCATCATCTACCTCAGGCGCAAAGCTCTGACCCACCTGGAGAAACCTGGAAGCACTGTGAGGATCATGTTCTTTGATTTCTCCAGTGCTTTCAACACCATCCAGCCAGGACTTCTGCGGGACAAGCTGGAGTTATCAGGAGTGGATCACCACATGTCCCAGTGGATACTGGATTACCTCACTGGACGCCCACAGTATGTGAGGACACAGGGCTGTGTCTCTGACATGTTGGTCTGCAGTACGGGGGTCCCACAGGGAACTGTGCTGGCACCGTTCCTCTTCACCCTCTACACTGCAGACTTCACCAACGACTCCCCACACTGCCATCTGCAAAAGTTTTCTGATGACTCTGCCACAGTCGGCCTCATCACAGGTGAGGACCACTCAGAGTACAGACAGCGGACTCAAGACTTTGTGGACTGGTGCCAGCAGAACCACCTCCTGATCAACGCTGCTAAAACTAAGGAGCTGGTTGCGGATTTCCACAGGCACAGGTCCACCTCACTGACTCCGGTGAACATCCAGGGTGTGAACATCGAGATTGTGGACTCTTACAAGTACCTGGGTGTTCACCTGAACAATAAACTGGACTGGTCTCACAACACTGATGCACTTTACAGGAAGGGTCAGAGCAGACTCTACCTGCTGAGGAGACTGAGGTATTTTGGAGTTCAGGGGGTGCTCCTGAAGACCTTCTTTGACTTGGTAGTGGCATCAGCCATGTTCTATGGTGTTGTGTGTTGGAGCAGCAGCTTATCATCAGCTGAGAAGAAGAAGCTAGATAAGCTCATCAAGAAGACCAGCTCTGTGCTTGGACGCCCCTCGACCCAGGTCAGGTGGTGGGAGACAGAAGGACTCTAGCTAAAATAACATCATTGCTGGACAACGTCTCCCACCCCATGAAGCTGCTGCTGAACTGGAGAGCTCGTTCAGTGACAGGTTCCCGCTCCTAAATGCACAAAGGAGCGTCACCGCAGGTCCTTCCTCCAGCAGCTGTTAGACTCTACAACCATCACTGCTCCCAACAAACTCAATAAGGATTAAATACATGCTGACCTCTGCTCAAACACACACTCTGCTTGTAACACTGTGCTGTCAATACTCTGTCCTTATCAATGTTCCAAAACATATTGGACATTATTATTGATATTGTTTATCTTGTTTCTTATATATTGTGTTGTTTATTAACATTTAGGAACTTTTGTGTGAAATCTTTAAATCTTTTTATCTTTTTATCTGTTGCTGCTGTTGCTGCTGATACACTGGAATTTCCCATCCGTGGGACAATAAAGGCTGTTTCTATTCTATTCTATTCTATTCTGTTCTATTCTATTCTATTCTATTCTATTCTATTCTACCTTACATATGCACCTAACATATCACTTAATGTATCACTTAACATATGCACCTAACATATGGCTTGAGTTCTCGAGGCTCAATGGGATTTACCTGTCTAAATAAAGGTTGAATGAATGAATGAACTTAACGTATCACCTTACATATGCACCTAACATATAACTTAACATATCACCTTACATATGCACCAAACATATAACTTAACATATGCACCTATCACCTAACAATTGCGCTTAAGATATCACTTAAGATATTACCTTACATATACACAGCATGCTAAATACACACTTTACATAGATACATAAACATATTTTTGGGTTAAATGGAGCCCCATACGTAGCTGCCTTTTCACCGGATCAAATAACCTCTGCTGTCGGTGAGTTTCAGCTGCATGATCGGGGTAGAATCTCACGATGTGGTTTTCAGACTTTACTGTACCATGTCTCTGGGCTGCTCGCACAGTGAGGTCCTTCTCTCTATAGTTAAGGAATCGAATTATCACCGCTCTTGGTTTGAGGTCCCGGCCATTAGTAAGACGTCCTTTTCTGTGTGCTCTCTCAATAATGGGAGGAGTTGGGAAAGTGTCGAAGCCCAGCACTGTTGTAAGCCATTTGTTCAGGAAAGCGCACATATCGCTGCCCTCAGCTTTGTCTGGGAGGACGATTAGCCGTACGTTGTTGCGATGCCCTCTGTTTTCCTGGTCCTCCACTTTGTTTTCCAGCATAGCACACCTCTTCTGTAGCATCTTAACAGTATTGTGCATGGTGTCCAGAGTATCCTCCACCCGTCCAATTCTGTCCTCTGCTTCCATAATCCTATTGGATTGATGTTGTAAGTCATTCTTTAACCCATTTATGCCGCTCAACACATGGATAAACTTTTTTGAAAAGTCGCTTTGCATGGAGCGTATTGCGCTGATAACTTCTGCACTTGTCCCCACCTCTGCTACCATCACTGATGTGGCCTCCGTGGCTGCAGATGAGCTGGCCTCAGCTTGTGGAGTAGATCTTAGTAGCTTTGATGTTGCTGTGTTCTGCTGTGCTGCTTTCTGTGATTTGGCATTGACCATATTGCTGGCTGGATGTATGCTGGCAAAATATACACGTTTTAGGTTGTTGGTGGTCTGTTTGACATAATACCCAAGTAGCCTCAGAGCTTCGCTGGGATGCGTCTCACCACTGTTGCACCGTAACCAGAAGTCCCCACATTTATTTGGTTTAATTGCCATGATTTGATTAATAGTTAAACTACAGTGAATTGTGACTGGAAGAAATGGTAAGCTGAATTTATTGAATTGAGTTACAGTTTAAATTGAGTAGATTGTAATGTTGGGGAAAATGATGAAATCATATATAATAAAATAAATTAAAATTAAATGGACTGTATTGAAATGACCTGGAATGAATTGGACTTTATATTTTTTTATACGCCCGCCAACAGGTGGGATGTATTTTGATCATTTCCATCCATCCGTAAACATTGTGTGGTCCTGCTCATATCTTCTGATCCATTCAAAATGAGTTAATGAGACTTCAAACACATATGCACCACTTCTACACATTGTGCTGAGTGATATTTTCATCACCCCAATTCTAAGGTCTAGGTCACAAATCAAGAACAAAGGTTATACAAGCTTTTTTCTTGTCCAGTTCATTTGATTGCTGTATAATAGTTTGTGTATGGTGTGCAGTACTCTTGTGTTCTTTGAGTACTGTAGATGTTCACTTGTCCTACTGCTGTGTGCAGAACATGTTTCACTTCTCCATGGACACCGAGGGGGGTGGCGTGGTGAAGATCCCACCAGCTCATGGAGATGATGCCTGGAAGGTGTACTTTGATGAACTGCAGCAGGACATCGTGGACGAGTTTGCCATGCGTTACGGAGTGGAGTCCATCTACCAGGCCATGACGTAAGTCCTCAGAGTGCAGTTCATGTTCAGCTCATCGTGTCTGTTGCAGTTCTTATTGGTTCTTGTTGGTTTGTGTGGCTGAGCAGATTCATGAACTATAAACTGTATGCAGATTAATTTATCTGATGTAATGAGAAAAGATGGCCTGCCATTTCTGAGATATCCCTGCCGAGTGATCAGATGGAGAAACACACACACACGCGCACACACTCAACTCATACTGCCAACTACAACACATTGTGTGCAAACCATGTAACTTCATTATTGTCAGCAGATCTGAATAAATTAGAGCCATGAGCAGAAGTGGACCAGACCTTCTCCAAGTGAAGATGAGTGCAGAAGATACAGCAACTTGACGGAAAATCAAAAAGAAAAAATATCAATAAATTACTACAAATAATTACCTTTCTACCGAAATACACAATTCATTCAACATTTATTTATACAGGTTAGTCTCATTGAGCCACGAGGACTTATTTACAATGGATGACTGCTGAAGTTACACTAACTACACTAACTAAAAGTTAAAAAGATGAGGGCAGAATACTAGCTGAAAGCTAAAAGAAGCAGAATAAAAGCAAAAATTTTAACAGATAAAATAAGCAAAAGAGTAGCTACAAGCTAAAAGCAACAAAAGGTAAACCAAACTAAAGCAGAACTGGAACATGGTCATAAAAGCCTTCTCCAAGTCCACAAAACACTTGTATACTGGAGAGGAAAACCCATGACAGTCTACAGTTTACAGGTCTCTTTTGTAAATGAGTCCCTGAGGCTCAATGAGACTAACCAGTAAAAATGATGGTTGAATGAATGACCCCATCTTATGACCCCCTTAGCAACAACACAAGTGTGAAGCTCTGGTCCACTGTTCCACGAGCAGGACAGAAACTACACTGCTCCTCCTGAATCTAAGATTCGACAATTGATCAGAGCCTCCCTTCCAACACCCTAGGGTAAACTTCCCCAGGGAGTGTGAAAAATGTGATTCCATAATAGTTGGAACACATTCACCAGCCCCACTTTTTAAATGGAGAACCGCTACCCTGGTCTGCCATTGCACAGGTTTATTCACAGTCCTCCATGCAACATTGAAGAGGTGTGCAACCATGACAGCCCCACAATATCCTGAGCCTTCAGCATCTCGGGGCGAATCTCGTCCACTCCTGTTGCCCTACCACCAAGGAGCTTTTTGACTATCTCAATGGCCTCTGTCATGGTAATGGACTCGTCTTCTCAGAGTTCTCAGACTCTGCCTCCTCAAATGTGGACAAGGTGGTTGGATTTAGGACATCCTTGAAGTGCTCCTTCCACTGCTCAACGATATCCTCAATCCGAGTCAGCAGTCCCCTGCCCAAACCAAACACAGTCTGGGACAACAAAAAAAGTTTAAATCATTTCACAGTCAACACAGTCTGGGACCTTTTCCGAGTTGCTGAACAGTTTGCCAGAATCTTCTCAAGATCAACTGAAAGACCTTCTCCATAGCCTCCTCTATTTCCTCCCATGCCAGAGTTTATGCATCCACAACCACCAAAGCCACATTCCTTCCGGCCACCCTGTGCCTGTCAGCTGCTTCAGGAGTCCTATGGGACAACCAAGTCCTGAAGGCCTCCTTCAATTCAATTCAATTCAATTCAAAACTACTTCATTAACCCAGAGATAAATTAAATGCTGTAACTCATCATCCTGGTTTCATTAAAGAGTTGTTCTAGATGCTGATGGCTGTGGGCAGGAAGGATCTCTTGTAGTGGTCTGTCCTACAACGGATTTGAAGAAGCCTCTGACTGAAGATACTCTGTTGTTGTATGACAGTCTGATGTTGTATGACAGTCTGATGTTGTATGACAGTCTGTTGTTGTATGACAGTCTGATGAAGAGGATGCTGAGGGTTGTCTATAATGTTCTTCATTTGATGAATAATCCTTCTTTGTACAATCATCTCCAGAGGTTCTAGAGGAGTCCCCAGAACTGAGCCAGCCTTCTTTATGAGCTTGTTGATCTTTTTTTAAGTCACTTGCTCTGGTGCTGCTCCCCCAGCAGATGATGGCAGAAGAGACAGCACTCTCTACAACAGACTTATAGAAGATATGCAGCATCTTGCTGCAAACACTGAAGGACTTCAGCTTCCTCAAGAAGTACAGTCTACTCTGTCCCTTCTTGTAGATGGCTTCACTATCATGATCTGCTGTACATGTTTGAACCCACGTGCAGGAAGATGCCGAGAGACTCCAGTAAATAAGTAAAAACTGTTTATTAACTAAATAAACAAAACAAGATGCTGATGAGACAGCTACATTACTTAGAGGAGGACACCATGGAAAACGAATCATCATGCATGATGAAGGACAATCTGGAGACACTGATAAGACACCAAGGGGTTGAAGATCTACAGACACTAATGAAGGTGAAATGACAGACATCTGCAGTGATTAGATTGAACACAGATAAGACAGAACTGGAACACAGGGAGGAGATAACACTGAGGGGTGACTGACAAACATGAAGAAACACAAAAGACAGGACCAGACCTCAGAAACCCTACAGGATCCCACACTCAAGGGATGGCCCCTGAAATCCCAAGGAGAGAGCTACGTGTACTTGAGTGGGAGGTGGGAAAAAACAAGAAGTAGGAAACACAAAGGAACATGAGGAGCAAGAAAACAGAGGATCGACAAGTAGGAACCTGGGTAAACACTAAACACAAAAAAAGGGAATCACAGAATCCCAACCCAGAGAGTCAAGGTGAGCGGTCAGGAGACCTTCCAAAGCAGGACAGAAGATCTGGTGGTGGG